TGGAAGCAAAAGCAATTGAGAATATAGTGGCACCCAACATTTGATCTTCCCAAGAATATCAAGGATTTGAAGATTCAACATATGATCTTCATGGATAAATTAATTTTTATCTTATTATTCTGTGTAAACAATGTAATACTTTGGGTAAACATTGTAGTTTATAAATAAATTATTTTATTAATTTTCTACGTAAACAATGTAACGAGTTTCAATTAAAAAAACAATCAAACTTACCCCTCTATTTTATTGATAAACCAAGATATATGACGCCTAGTTTTGTAAATAATAAAAGTGCAGATGATGAGGTTGAAACTCATGCGCAAATAAATTTACTCCTCGGTGTTTTAAAACCCAAGGTGTTAAGTGGTTACCTTTCATGATACCCTTTATTACCTCGCTTCTTTAGCTGAGGTAAAATGCATATCACGTCCGAGGTTAAAAGCGCTTTTTGTAGTAGTGCACTTCTGCACCCCGTATGAAATATAAATAAGTGCCAAGTATTAAACTCTTCAAGATCACAGGTGATAGCATAAGTTAATATGAATATGTGAGCATAATTGGTAGCTTTGGGTATGCCACAGATTGTACTAGACCTGACATTTCTTATATTATGAGATTGTTGTGCACGGTTACAAGTAAACCTAGAATAGAGCATTGTAACACTATTGTAGAGTATTGAGGTAGCTTAAAAGGACCATGAACCTTAGATTACATTATCAAAAGTTTCATGTTATCCTTGAGGGATATTCTGATGATGATTAAAATACCTTATTAGATAATTCTAAAGAAGATAATTGTTACATCACTGGAGGAGAAATCTCTTGGAAGTATAAGAAATAAATAATTCTCGCTCAATCCACTATAAAATTATAAATGATAGGTGTTGCAACTGCTAGTGAAGAAGAAAGCCAGTAATAGAGAAACTTGTTAGCGGAGATTCCGTTATGGGAAAAACTCATTTATGACTTTATGAAAAAATATATAATTAATCTTTTATTTTGTTTTTTTAATATAAACTTTTTATTTGTAAGTTTATTAACATGTGTCGTAAGGGCACACGTTAGGATATGACCTTTAATTATAATTGATATAGATTCAGTTGCAAAGTCCCCATAAAATATCAAGTGTGGGATTAATTATTAGATCATGTTAACTTGTGCCCTAATGACATAAGATAAAAATTAAATATCTAAATTTTATTTTTGTGGTTATTAACATGTGTATTTAGGGTATAAATTAACATGACTTATGTGATGTTAACTAGCACCTTAAAGGCACAAGATAAGAATCAAATATAAAGATTTTATTTTAAAAATTATGCATTGATTTTATTAAAAACATTTGTTGCAAAAATACCCTTAACATATACTCTATCAGTCCTAAAATATAAGAGAAAAAAACAAAATTACACTTATTAAGAAAAGTAAAAGCATAATGATTTGACTTGTTGTTTTTATTGAAAAAATACATAGGAAGATGTAAAAACAATTCTAAATGGTTGATGGTTATACTAAAGATGAGAGAGAATGTAAGTTAAATGTAATTTGCATTTAATTTTACTTTAAAAAGAATGAAACTTGGTTTTTTCTCTTATATTTTGGGACAACAAAAATGTATTTTTTTTTTTTTAATATTTTGAAACTGAGGAAGTGTTTATTTATGTTATATTATAGTCAGTGTTGTCAGCAGGGGATCAACTAGAAATGTTCAAGGAGTATATAACAAAATTGAAGGAAGTTGTAGAGGGAAATAGAACAATTGAGATTATAGAAAATAACATACTTATCATAAGTATAGAAGCAATGGTATTTCAGAAACATTTTATACGTCACCATTCAAAAAGGATGAGTATGATATAGAAAAGTATACAACTATGTTGATTATTGCATCTTTAGAATTTGTTGAGTTATGCTTTAGAATTTAAATTTCTATGGACCGGATTGCAAATTTTGAAGATTTATAGGGACTAGTTAGTAATTTTTGAAAAAATTACATTTTTTATGAAGGAACTTTCTCTATCGGGAGCAAGAAAGATCGGAGTATTCAAGTTATCACCAATAGGATGTGTGTCATTGCAAAGAACTGTGAAAGGAGGCATAGAAAGAGATTGTGTTAAAATTATAAATGAGAGAGCATTGATTTTCAACTCCAAACTTTCTTCTTCACTTGTGGATCTAGTAAACAAACTTACAGATTCTAGGCTTGTCTACCTTTAAAGTTATATTTAGTTGCATTACATTATCATAAATCACACTCACTATGGTAAGATTGTATGATAATGAAAACTTGAAATTTAAGAAGCTTGAAAAAGTTCTCTATGATGAATTGTAAGTGCATGAAAACATTTTTAAATATTTGGAACAGATAACTCCTTTAAAAGTTGGATGCATGTAATCCATATAACATTTTCCAATGTTTAGAACAGAGATCTCCTTACAGCAAATATTTGTTGTTCTCTAAAAATATGGATTTGTTATAATATTGTATTTTAATATTTTGTGTAAACAATGTAATGTAAAAAAAAATCTTTTTCACCTCAATTTTTAACAAAATTGATGGGTTAAGTTAGTGTTATAAATGAGGATATTGTTCACAATCTTTAAACAAATCTTTGCCGCCCATTTCATGAGTATCAACGCTAAGACACTATTATTAGTGTTCCACGTGAAACCTAAAAATATTCCACTATAAAAGCATTATGATATCTAAAATTGATAATGAAATATCATGAAACGCTTGAAATTATCTACATCCTCTACTTTAAGGCTTGTAAAAGTATTTGCCATGAAGAGTTCTCTATGATGGATTGCAAGAGCAGAAAATTGTTTGGGTTTAAGGTTTGTATTCTTATATATTTACTTTGAGCAGAAAATCATTTGTTTAGCTAACCTTTTTTTTTTATATCAGGAAAAAATGCAAGCAAAAGGAATTAAGAATATAGTGGCACTCAACATTATCTTCCCTAGAATATCAAGGATTCGATGATCCAACATATGATCTTCATGGATAAATTAATTATTAGTTTATTATTTTATATAAATAATGTAATATTCATGGTAAACATTGTAGTTTGTAAACAATTTTTTTATTAATTTGCTATGTAAACAATGTAATGAGTTTCAATTAAAAAAATATATAATTTATCCTTCAATTTTATTGATAAATCGAGATATATGAGGTTCTAGTTTTGTAAATAATAAAAGTGTAGATGATGAAGTTCGAACCCATGCGCAGATAAATTTACCTCTCGGTGTTTTAAAAACTGAGGTGTTAAGTGGTTACCTTTCATGATGCCCTTGCTATAATGTTTCAGAAACATTTTATACATCACCATTCGTAAATGATGAGTATGATGTATAAAAATATACAACTATTTTGATTAGTGCATCTTCGAACTTTGTTGAGGTATGCTTTCAGGGACCAATTAGTAAAATTTTAAATTTCCATGGACTGGATTGCAAAGTTTGAATATTTATAGGGACTAATTAGCAAGTTTTGAAAAAATTACATTTTTTTATCAAGGAACTTTATCTATTGGGAGCAAGAAAGACTGGAGTATTCAATTTATCACCAATAGAATGTGTGCCATTGCAAAGAACCGTGATAGGGTGCATAGAAAGGGTTTTTGTTTAAATTATAAATGAAGGAGTATCGATTTTCAACTCCAAACTTTCTTCTTCACTTGTGGATCTAGCAAACAAACTTGCATATTCTAGGCTTGTTTACCTTGAAAATTATATTGAGTTGCATTATATTATCATAAACCGCACTCACTATGGTGTCGAAGTGTCAATGTTGTATTTCATATGTTTGTGCTTCATAGTCTGACAGATTATTTTTTGTGGATCAGGAGTTGAAAATGGAGATGGTTCATGTTATGGCATTGCAAATATAAAATTTGGTCCTCTGTGTAGTTCTTTCAGCTTAAAAGTTTGTCCAAATACATCTTAATATGTGTTCTGGGACTGTTATCACCCCACAGAAAGAACTAACAGAATAAGCGTCAAACAAGTTTTAGATAACAAGATAGATGAGTTTCTTTGGAAAAAAAATTTTCTTTTAAATTTAAAAAAATTAACTGATTTTTTTAACATAAATAAAATAGTTAATTAGATACATTAAATACAGTGCATCACCTATTTTCTCTAAATAGGTACAAAATTGGTAAATTTGGGTTTCAAACAGTAAATTAAATTTATCCAAAATATATCCTTCCAAGGAATTCATAAATTTTAAATTTTTAAGCCAAATAAAATCCAGTAACATTAAACAACTGCATTACCATTACTTAATAACAAAACCCCCATAAAACCAAATTATAAATGCAATACTATAACACTGCCAAAATTACAACTAAGTTTTATCCAAAAATATGGAGCAATTGCTGTTAGTCCCAATTCAATTATCCATTTCAACACTGAAAATCTACAACTCCAGTAGCAATAATTTATAACAAAAAGTTAGTCATAAACTTGGTTAACTATGCTATCTTGCAAAACATTTAAGTCATAGAAGGAAAATGAATGTAAATGTATCAACCAAATTGACATATACCTATCCTTGTATCCAACACAATCAAGCCAACAACAATGAAGCAAGCATTTCTTGTCCTTCATTCAATGAACTTCCATAAAAATCTTATACATGCTTTAGTACATTATGATATAAATCAAATGCGAAACTTCTACATTCGGTCACTTTGCATCAAATTACTTATAACATGTTATATTTGTTATACATGTACTGAAAAATTCAGGTTTCAATTCTAAAAATTCAGGTCCAATTCTATATAACCTTTTTGATAAGCAATAGTGTATTAAAAGAGAAGCAAAGAGTACTTCAACCCATCAATACAACGAAGAGGCAAGCTCCACTAAGAAGCAAACCCACCAACAACTAAACCGCAAACCATCAGCGGACAGCAAAACAGGCCAACATTTGTAAGTAGTTTGCATTGGCAAAAACATATATAAGTATCTATGTCAGGGGATAACATACTATTAACGTGGAATCTGATCAGAATCAAGACCTCTAGGGTACATGGACATTATGCACAAAGCATAAGGTAGAAAGAAAAACACAGCTAAGAACACAAGAACACCAAGATCAGCTTCTTCTCCAACCGCTGGACGGCGCTTACTGGTCCAGTATATCTGACTTATACACCATGAGCAGTATAAAGCAGCTATGACTATCACAAGTATCATTGAATGAAATGATACTGAGGAGCTTGCTCTGCAATGCAATGAAGGAGAAAGAAAATCATGTAAAAACCATGCTAATTCTACAATACAACTGGATATTATAACATGGAAATTAGGTGCGATAACAAACACCTGTTGAGATAAAGGAATCCGCCAATTAAGCAAAGACATAAGAAGCCCACTACAACAACAGCAGACGGGTAAATTGGTGCAGTGCCATCCCACCAGCCAGTGCCCAAGATCCATTTGTACATGGTTGTTTTCCCATTCTCCTACAATAAGTTTCAATCAGTTAAAGAGCGTAAGTGTCAATTTTTAGAAGAACTAAAACATGGCTACAAGATTTGGAGTTGACACCATTAGATGAAATGCAAACTAGTCAAAATTAACTTCATTCGCAGTTTGTTTCCATTTAAATATAAGCCAAGACAATAGCAAATACCAGTAAAATCTTGGGATGAACCTTATGTGACAAGCATTAAAGGTAATCCAAAGTTGAAAGCTACGGTATGTAGTAGTAGAATAGCAGTTAAGCATGTAGATTACAAAATTGCAGGGGAACAAATACTTTCTCTAGAGAATTGATATGAAGCACGGACACTAAAAACACGACACCAACAGTAATACGTCGACAACGGTAATAATTTAAAAAAAATATAAAAAAAAAATAATTACAAGTGTCGGTGTCGATTTTAGACATCGATATTGACACGGACACACTTTTTCTAGAGGTGTCGGTGCTATATAACTTGGACCACGAAGGAAAATGAAGTTGGAAAATGTCAAAAAGGAATCATATTGAAAGAGCATTTAATACCTGAAAGAAATGAGTAAATGTGGAAACAATTTGACATACCATTTAAGAGAATAACAAATGTGGACATAATAAACAATATATGATGCATGCATGTATTACTCGATAAAAACTTGAAAGCAATATAGCTACTATTTGAAGTAGAATAAATGAGGTAGAAATAAGTTGAAAATACCTCAAAGAGATGGTCTAGAAAAAAATGAGTGAAAGATCCCGCTGATATCAAGAGAAAACACTGCATCTTTGTAAGGGGAAGCTGCAATACATAATATGAAATTAGTATTAATCAATAATAAATTATGAGATTATGAAGAAAAGTTGAGGGGTCACCCTGGAGTGAGAAGCATGAAGAAGGCGTGAACGGAGAAGAAGGGATGAAATCTTAGAGTAAAGGGAAGAGAGAGGAAATCCTAAGATAATGAAGTAACCGAAGGGATCGTGGATGAGATTGGCTACGAAGGAGACTACAGTGTCACCGCCAAGAAAAGAGGCAAGCCACACGGAGAAGGAGCCAATATCAGGTCCAAAGAAGGCATTGATGGTGTAGACGAGTGTGTGGTGTGGGCTAAATCTTCCATTAGAGGTGGTGGTTAGACACAACCCCGACGCCATGGCGAACATGAGATGAGGACCAGGTCCCGGCATTGTAACAAACTAATCAACGTTCCAATTCTGAACCGCCCTAGAACAAGATATGTATATATATAATGGTACTGTGCTAGTCATGAATTGTGTGTGTGAGAGAGAGAGAGAGAGTAGTGTTTAGTAGAATGTTTAATTGCAATTACCGCCACCAATTTGAATTAGATTGTTAAATATCTCTCTAACATGCATTAATTAAGTGATCACTTCGCGGCTCAGTTATAACTTAAAAATACACTTTTCCTTTTAATTTCTCCTTTCATTTTATTTTTCTATACACTTTTCCTTTTTATTTCGACTTTCATTTTATTTTTCTTTAAGAATTTACATGAGAATACATTTAGAATATTCACATCAAAAAATTATATGAAAATATTTTTAATAATAATTTCTTTAAGTAATTTTAAAATATTAACTCAAAACTAACTTAGTTTGCTTATTTTTTATAATTATTTAAAATTATCCTAAACTTTGTTACTAACTATTTAAAAAATATATAAAAACAAACATGTTAAGAGAAAGTCAAGTGAGGCTGAGAGAGAGGGGGGGCGAATAGAGAGTGACAGAGGGTATATGCTGGATGCAGTCGTCCCCTAATGTCTATATGGGAAGTGGGTTGGGCATCACTACAGGTCATAGTGCCCGCTACAGGTTGGTCGTAGCCCGACTTTGACTTCTTTATTCTCCATTCTTTTTCATTCCTAATTCATGAGTTTACTTTTAGGTGGACAATATTCATATTGAGGGAGATCACAAATCCCGTAAAGTAGTATTTTGTTATTTAACATGATGGATAAACCACATTTTGTGAGTTATTACAAGTCCTAATACTTGATTTTGGCTACTTGATTTACCATTCAAAGGTTAATTTCATTGCATTTTGTTGTTTTTTTAGTAATATGTAAATAGCACAATAGGTGCCCTCTTTTGTAGTTTTAATGTGTTTATTGCTTGTGAATGGTTAGTTCTGATGAAGGCGTGAATGACAGCTCGATACCCAAGGAATAATAGAAAGCTGGAAGAAGTTGAGAAAAATGGAAGGAATATCAATTGCATTCTTGGGGTATAAGTGGTAACAATTCGCGTTTGAAGAAATGCTTATTTGAATGGATAAGAACAAGGCGCTGGAAGATAAAAGTTTGTACATAGTACACCCCTAATGCGCCTTGTGGTAAAAAGGACAACACTGTCTTCTCCTCTCCACCAACAGTCTCTAAATTTACATTTGTATCCCACTATTATCTATACCTGAATCTGATGCTATATGAAAGGCAGGAAATTGAGGGAAATTCGCTTATTCTCTTTTGGGCCTGGTTTGATTTATTCTCAAGTTCATTGTCGCGGTGCAAAAAAAACTCGAGCACATCGCACGCTCGAAATATAATAACAATAAAGTCTCCACCGAGATTTATTTGTTCCAAAAGGAACGGGAAAATGTCGAGTAAAACCCATGAAAGAAAATAAATGGTCATCGCAACCAAGAGAGGGTTCAAGAGTCGGTTATGCAAGGGGAGTGTATTAGCACCCCTCGTATCCATCTTACTAGACGGGAAACATTTAGTTAGTGTGCATTCGAGTGTTAGCGTAATAGTTTGTGATCTTCTACTTACTAATCGAGAAGGAGAAAGAAGAAGGATTTTTGTTTTTTAGTTTATTATGCTCGGCAAGACTTCCCAGTCATGTGACTACGTATTCCCCCGTGCAATGGGAAAGTCGGAGCTCCATAGTTCTGGTTAAAAAGGACAACAAGCTTGTATGTTGATTTTAGAAGAATGATGTGTTAGACATTTTAAACGTTTAAACTTTGACTTGTTTGCTCGTTTGAGAGACTTAAGTCTTTATGTTTGTTTTGTGTTGAAATGGCTAAGGCATTTTTGTTTTGAAAAGGTTTTTGAAGAGTCGTGCAAGGGCGAAAAACAAGTTTGATAAGTTGAAGTATTTTTTATGGGGATACAAGTATCCAAATAGGGAGTTCTACAACAGTGTCGGAATACTTTATAAGGGAATGTATCTAAATCTAAAGCACCATTCTTCTCCAAAAGCTTTGGTTTTGAAAGTGTGAGGTGAATCAAGATTTGCGTTTATTAAGTGTTTTAATCAGGAAGGAAGACTACTCAAACAATGAGCTTTAAGGCAATGTCGAATATTCTGTAAGGGAGAGGATATAAATCCAACCCTAATGTCATTCCTGTTTTTATTTAAGAAAATATATTTTTGAAAGTGCACTCGACGTTGGATCGAGGTTTGAAACTTTGATTAAGAAACGATTTGAAATGATGAATGGAAAAGGTTGATGGCGATGCAAAAGCAATCGACTTACAAGGGTTTGAAATGGTGTCTCGATATGTGGATCGAGCACGTGCGTTGTGATTGATTTGGAATTTATTTATGAAAAGACTCGACATTGGATCGAGTTTGTTTTTTATCTTTTTATGAAAAGTATTGATTTTAAATGATCCTCTTGTAATTAACAATAGAATAGTATCATACAATGAATAATAGAGCAAAGTAAAAGAAAGTGATAAAAATTATTACAACATGTGGGGAGTGGGATACAACTTGATCAAATGGGGATGAATCAGACAATAAATCGAAGCTATGATACCGAATATAGCACTATATTAAGCAATCGTTAGGCGATTCATATGAGAATTAACCCTATTTGAGGCCGGCAAATAGAACATATGCACTTAATGATTCGAAAGATAATATCAGAATTAAATCTCGATTTTGCTATGCAAAGCTAACCAATAAAACATAAAAGGCAAAGAAATATCGAATGTAGCACTATGTTGAGCAATCATAACGTGATTCATGTAGGAATCGACTCAATCTGAGGCCGGGAAATAAAAATATATGCATTCTAAAAAATTCTAAGCATAATATATGAATTAATATTCGAAGGTGTTACGCAATACTAAGGCAACCCAATTCAATTAACATCCACAGATATACCAACATATATTGAAATGATATTTAATCGAAGTAAAAGAAAATTAAAAATAAAGCTAATCTAAAGCAAACCATTTTTAATTAATCAACCAAATAATAAGCCAAAAATAAAATATAAAAAATAATCATAAACTATATAAAAACAACAAACAATTAATTAATTAACCATTTAGAAAAAATAGCCAATCAAAATCAAGATAAAGTAAAATTAAAATAAAATGTAACAGAGATATTAAATAAAAAAGAGAAGAAAACAAAAATTAAAACAAAAAACAAGTGAAAGGGCCTGAACAAAGTAACCAGGGGTGTGCATCAGCAAATAAGCTAAGCCCGAGAAAAAGAAGGCACGTGCTAAAGGGAGGTCCATTGAACCTCTTGTTAACTAAGTTGACCTCAGTGAAAGATCAAGGGCGTTAGATCTAGTGGTCAACCAAATTGACCTAGATTTGAGGGCTAAAAGCTAAGGCGCATGGTATAGACATAGAAAACACATAGGAAATTAGTAGAGGACTTACCAGCAAGATGTGGTGACAAGTGGCTCCGATGGTCACTTGTCACCACTAGACTCATCAACAAATAACACAACAACAATAAAACAACAAATCACCAGAATCACAACTCATTTAACATACTTTTCTCTCTTCAAATCAAAACATAAAATGCTCTGCAAATTAGTTATCACGCTACCACCATCCTCCTGTCGGAGAAGACGATGGTTGGTTGGCCGAAGGCTGCGCCACCTTGTTCTCCAGTGAGTCACCACCACCTAAACACCAAACCACCTTACCCCCTCTAAAATCGACCTTCTAAAACCAAATTCGTAGTCAAAAAACCCCAAAAAAACTAAATCATCAACCTAGATCTAACAGTCAAATCCAAAATCCTAAAATCAAAATTAAACCTTAAAACTAAACACAATCAACACAATACCATGTGGGTTTCAACCAGGATACACCCTCTGTCCCATATTATAAGAGAAATTCACTTTTTAGATTCATTGAATAGTTAATATATCTTATCTATATATATATTAGATACATTAATTATTCAATGAATCTAAAAAGTGAATTTCTCTTATAATATGGGACGGAGGGAGTAGCAAGCATGACAACTTGGTAACAAAAAAATGGTGAAAGGGGAGTCAAATCATACCTGATCGGAGAAAAATTTTGTTCCTACTCCGACGATGGCAAAGGTGGATCTGATAAGCTCCTTTGTTCTCTCTTTTAATTTCTCTCCTTCTACTCTTCTTTTCTCTGCAAATCTGTTGGTGTTGTGAAATTTAGGGTTGAGGCATAGCCCACTTCTTTCAGGGTTTCAACGTGAAACTCTGAAGAGGCTAATGAAAGGAGCTCTGAGTGTATTTGTGAGTTAGGGAAGATTTTTTGCAGTGTAACAATGCTTTGAGTGTTTTTTGAATAAATGAAATGAGAGGGGTTGTCTTATAGGCTTTAGCATGGGATTAAGAGAGGTTTGGAATGAGGTTAGGAGTTTGTTACAGGGTGAGATTCGGAGTGAGAAGAGAGACTCAGGTTTGGGAAGTTGTTAGAGAAAAAGGAAAACAGAAATGATGTGAAATTTATTTGGAAATTCAAATTGCTTTGTGAAATTGTTTTTAGGAATTTTGAAATTTATGTTTGAATTACTTGTAATTTGTGGCATATTGTTTGGAATTACTTGACGCCCTTGGATTGATGTGTGAATGGTTGGATTGAATGTTGGAGATTGTTAATTGGAAATGTTATTTTGGTTTTTTTAATGGTGTATAAAGTTATGTATGTATGTTGATACGTTTTTGTTGATGTTGTAAGGTTTTGATGGTTAAATTGGTTTACGAATCAGTACTATGTGAATGATGGTTATTGTTGTTGATTGGTAGGGGTGTTGAAATTAATTGGTTATATAAATTATCCTTATCTATATCTAAATTTGGTTAAGAAAAGTCGGTTAATTATTAATATAGTTTTAACCAAATTCATACTCTCTGAAGTCTTCATTTGAGCCCATAGTCACACTTTGTAATTGCACGTGAGTTGGTGCAAGATCAGCAT